AAAACATGGGAAAACCCCACCCAGAGCCCCCACAGAACCCCAAAACATGGAAAAACCCCACCCAGAGCCCCCCGGCACCCCAAAACATGGGAAAACCCCACCCAGAGCCCCCTGGCACCCCAAAACATGGAAAAACCCCACCCAAAGCCCCCCGGCACCCCAAAAGGTGAAAAAAACCCCACCCAGAGACCCCCAGAACCCCAAAACATGGAAAAACCCCACCCAGAACCCCAAAACATGCAAAAACTCCACCCAGAGCCCCCCAGCACCCCAAAACATTGAAAAACCTCACCCAGAGCCCCCCAGAATCCCAAAACGTGGAAAAAACCCCACCCAGAGCCCCCTGGCACCCCAAAACATGGAAAAACCCCACCCAGAGCCCCCCGGCACCCCAAAAGGTGAAAAAAACCCACCCAGAGCCCCCCAGCACCCCAAAAGTTGCATAAACCCCACCCAGAGCCCCCCGGCACCCCAAAAGGTGAAAAAAACCCACCCAGAGACCCCCAGAACCCCAAAACATGGAAAAACCCCACCCAGAGCCCCCCAGAACCCCAAAACGTGCAAAAACCTCACCCAGAGATCCCAAAACCCCACCCAGCACCCCCAAACTCCATCCACAACCCCAAAATGTGGACAAACCCCACCCAGAACCCCAAGGTGACCCAAGTGTCTGAGTGCCACCTCTTGTCCCCAAATGACCCAAGTGTCCATGTGCCACCCTGCTGTCCCCCAGCTGTCCAGGTGCCACCCCCAGCTGTCCCCCAGCTGTCCATGTGCCACCCACAGGTGTCACCCCCAGGTGTCCAGGTGCCACCCGCAGTGTCCAGCTGTCCCCTGTCCCCCACCTTCATCTTGAAGGCCTTCTTGCCGCCCTTCATGGCGTTGTCGTCGAAGGAGAACTCGTTCTCGCGGATGATGGCCCGGCTGTCCTTGTCCCCGGTGTAGGTGACAACGTAGAAGGCCGGGGCCCACATCTGGAACTCGCGCTCCCAGTTGATGATGGTGGAGAGCGGCGCGCTGACGAGGAACGGGCCCTTGGTGTGGCCCTGGGGGACACTGTGTCACACCACGGGCCAGGCCCGGGGGACACCGTGTCACACCCTGGGGGACACGGGGACACACCCTGGGGACACTGTGTCACACCCTGGGGGAGGCGGGGACACACCCTGGGGACACTGTGTCACACCACGGGCCAGGCCAGGGGGACACCATGTCACACGGGGACACAGAAACACCCTGGGGACACTGTCACACGGGGACACACCCTGGGGACACTGTGTCACACCCTGGGGGACACTGTCACATGGGGAACGGGCCCTTGGTATTGCCCTGGGGGACACCATGTCACACCCTGGGGGACACGGGGACACACCCTGGGGACACCGTGTCACACCACGGGCCAGGCCCGGGGGACACCGTGTCACCCCCTGGGGGACACGGGGACACACCCTGGGGACACCGTGTCACACCACGGGCCAGGCCCGGGGGACACCGTGTCACCCCCTGGGGGACACGGGGACACACCCTGGGGACACCGTGTCACACCACGGGCCAGGCCCGGGGGACACCGTGTCACCCCCTGGGGGACACGGGGACACACCCTGGGGACACCGTGTCACACCACGGGCCAGGCCCGGGGGACACTGTGTCATACCCTGGGGGTCACACCCTGGGGACACTGTGTCACACCACGGGGGACACAGGTGACCCCAGGGCCATGTGAGTGACCCCTGCCCCACGTGGATCACCCCAGTGACAAGGCAGGTGCCCCCAGCCCCATCCAGCTGCCCCACCGGTGACCCCAGGCCCACGTGAGTGACCTCAGGCCCACGTGGGTGACCCTAGTGACCACGTGAGTGACCCCAGGCCCACATGAGTGACCCCAGTGACTATGTGAGTGACCCCTGCCCCACGTGAGTGACCCCAGGCCCACGTGGATGACCCTAGTGACCACGTGAGTGACCCCAGTGACTATGTGAGTGACCCCTGCCCCACGTGAGTGACCCCAGGCCCACGTGGATGACCCTAGTGACCACGTGAGTGACCCCAGTGACTATGTGAGTGACCCCTGCCCCACGTGAGTGACCCCAGGCCCACGTGGATGACCCTAGTGACCACGTGAGTGACCCCTGCCCCACATGAGTGACCCCAGGCCCATGTGAGTGACCCCAGTGACCACGTGAGTGACCCCAGGCCCACGTGAGTGACCCTAGTGACCACGTGAGTGACCTCTGCCCCACGTGAGTGACCTCTGCCCCACATGGATGACCCTAATGACCACGTGAGTGACCTCTGCCCCACTGGATGACCCTAATGACCACACAGGTGCTCCCTGCCCCACTGGATGACCCTAATGACCACGTGAGTGACCCCTGCCCCACGTGGATGACCCTAATGACCACACAGATGCCCCCTGCCCCACGTGGATGACCCTAATGACCATGTGAGTGACCCCAGGCCCACGTGGATGACCATAATGACCACACAGATGCCCCCTGCCCCACGTGGATGACCCTAATGACCACACAGATGCCCCCTGCCCCACTGGATGACCCCACAGACCACACAGGTGCCCCCGGCGGTGCCCCCAGGTGCCCTCACCTCCTTGTAGAGCGAGTAGAGGAAGACGATGGTCTGGATGGTCTTGCCCAGCCCCATCTCGTCGGCCAGGATGGTGTCGGTGCTCTGCGCCCACGAGAAGCGCAGCCAGTTGAGCCCCTCCAGCTGGTACAGGTGCAGCGTCCCGCCCGTGGCCGTGATGAAGCGCGGCTGCGTCTCGTACTTCACCGTGGGCTGCGGGGACACGGCTGTCACCGCGGGGGATGGCCAGCCCAAACCCCCCCGGGGGGCTGGGGAGGGTGTGGGGGTGTCAGGGGAATCAGGTCTGGGGGATTCAGGGCACCCCAAACACCCACAGGGGGGTGGGGAG